AGAGTGGATTGGAGATGTTGAAGGTAATCAATGATGAAAGCACCGGTAATGGAATTAGACCGGTTGGTTACTTTGGTTCAAAGTTTTAGAGTTAACACAAAATTTGTGTTAAATCAAACCAAGTTGAATTATTAAAAAATTAAAATGCAAATAATAATAGGTCAAGTGGCGCAATATTATAGGTGGCACTGGATTGGCATTGGATTCATGTCACCGAGGATCCCAAGTGGATGCCACTAAGCCAGGAGAGCCACTTGATTTTTTCCACAACGGATCTTCTGTCCCATATCCTGTGTCACTCTCTGTCCCACTTTTTATTATATTGTTATTTCTCATTCATAAATATCATGTTTTAATTCTTTTTTATTTCCTTAAGATCCAATAACTATTAATTGAGTAATCCACAAAATTTAACAAACTCAAAAAATCAAAATGCATAAAAAATGAGATTTTTTATGAATTTTCTGCTGTATTTTTTAATTTTCTATTATATATTGCTTTTTTGAATCTGTTGTATTTATTTTTTACTTAATTAATAGTTATTATATAAAACTTTTAGATATGGGAAATTGTCAACTTAGTCCTCATATTTTAGAAATTTTTTTTAGTTCCTCATATTTAAAATTAGCCAAAATAGTCCCTCATATATAAAAATTTTGCCCGTTTGATTCTAGAGCTCATTTTTACTCGATTTTCTAGTCAAAAAATGCATGTTTACCTCATGTGCCCATAATTTTAAAGGCAAAATAAAAATAAAAATAAAGTTTGTTTTCCTTCACAAAAAAAAGACCATCCCCTTCCCCTATTTTCAGCCACTAAAACCCTATTTCTAATTCTACATAACCAAACCCCAATTCTCAATAACAAAACTTCATCAAGTGGACCTTCACAAAAGCAATGAAGAAAAGGGCATAGTGATCATATCGGAAAAGGGTAAAAATGATCGAAAAGCACTAATAAATTACAACACACGATAGTTTCACAAAGAGGGCAGAGAAACAAGGATAGTAGAGCTTTAATCCATCTAACTATGGTGAGTTTTTCTGCCACTTTGATAAATAAAGGGATGATTATGTAAAATCTCATCTAAATAGTGTAATATTGTGATTTGTTGTATATATTATGTAATATTATAAGGCTATGTGTGTTAAAAGTTTTGTTGTTAGGAATTGAGGTTTGGTGGTTGAGAATTAGAAATAGGATTAGGTGGACGAAAATTGAGAGGGGAAATCATGCATGTGCATGTGTGTGTGTGTGTATGTGTGTTTTTTTTCTTTTTAAGGGAAACAAATTTTGTTCCTATTTTACCTTTGAAATTATGAACACGTGGGGTATGCATGTATTTTTTTTGGCTGAAAAACTGAGCAAAAATGAGTTTTAGGGCTAAACGTGCAAAAATTGTTATATCTAAGGAATTGTTTTGGCTGCTTTTAAATGAGAAGAACAAAGAAAATTTATTGGAAGAAGTGAGAGACCAATATAGCAATTTTTTCTTTAGATATTTATACACCTAACACGTGGTAATAAAACAAATTTTAGCTTTATTAAATAAAATTTTATTCTTGAGTCACTCAAACTTTTTTCTCTGAAACTTTACTCGAAAATATCGTTTGTCTTCTTCATTTGGTTGCTTTCGCTTTAAACACATGAATAGTTTTGCAATGTGAAATTAGTAAGAAGAGGATTGACAAGAAACCAGTGACAGATTTAAGGTGGGGGCACTGGGGCACGGTCCTTCATTGTCCCTTAAATTCCTATAATACCTATAAAATTTTGATATAATTTCAAGTGTGCCTCAGATTTTTTTTTACGAAGGAAGTGAAAGAATTACGTGGTCCTCTAAGTTGGTTCATGAACTAATATTCTAAAAGGATATGTGAGCCACAAAGTTCCATTTGAAATAAGCTCAAAAAAGGCTTTTCATTTCAACTTATTGGTGATTTTTTTTTTTTGCTTAAAAAAACTAGAAAAAGAGTAAGTAAAAAATTTTAGTGTTTCTTTTACTCCTACTGAAAATCTTTTCTGGCTCCGCCACTGCAAGAAACTAATCTCTTTTACGATGACACTACACATGAATATTTTTGTAATGCGAAATTATCAAGGCTGACAATGGATTGATGTCCGACAGTTTTGCTGCAAGAGAGTTTCTTCAAGTTTACCAGAGATTGTTTGCTGATTTTTTGCGTCATGATCTGGAGATTTACCGAGTTTTTGTCCCTCTTCTAGTGTTAGTTGATTAATAAAAGGGTTATTATCACTTTACCCCCTTAACGTTTGGTGCTACTATCAATTTCCCCCTTAACATTTTCTTTTAGTCACTTTACCCCCAGAACTAACGGTCAAACTGAACGGAGTTTGTTAATTAAAGTGAAAAGACATGTTTAACCCTTAAAATTATTATCACTTTACCCCCGTAAAATATAGTGTCATTATCAATTTTTCCCCTAGAGTTATTTTTTAGGCAATTTATCCTACCATTAAACCAATTTAGTAAGTTAAAAAACTTTAAAAGAAAATACCCTCCTTTTTGCATAATAAAAATAATAAAAAATTTAGAGTGACTCTTCTCCTTTTTAGTATCAAGAAAAAAAGTCAAAGTATTAATTTCTTTATTTTTGACAATCTTATTAATATTGAAAAAAATAGAAAGATGGAGAGGGGGAAGGGGAGAGGGGGAGGGAGAGAGAGAGAGAGCTCAATTCTTTTTTTAAAAATTACAAATAAGAAAGAATTAAATACTTTTATTATTTTAATATTATTTCACTTTTTTGTTTATCACCAAATTCCAATGCTAATCTCGACAACTTTAAAGTAATACCATAATTTTAGACTTTTCTTTATTTTTTTGTAAAATCTAATTTTTTGTCTCCTTCTTTCCTATCTCTTTTTCTTTTCCTAGTATTAATAAATGTGAAGAAAAAAAAATTTTGAGAAAACCCTTTTATTTTTATGTTTTTGATCTCTTAAAGTGAAAAAAAAAGAAGAATAACCATTCTAACTTTTTTATTTTTAATGATATATAAAAGTGGGTAAATATATTTAAAATTTTTTGACCATACTAGTTAGATTAACGATGAGATAAAATACCTAGAAAATAATATTAGGAACTAAAGTGATTGTATCACTATAATCTAAACGAATAAAGTGATAATAACAATGTAGTAATGCTATAAAATAAAAGGGTATTTTTGTCCAAAATTTCTTAACATGTTGAGTTGAATTACCAATGGGGGTAAAGTGACTAAAATATAACGTTAGGGGGTAAATTGATAGTAGTGATATAGTTTAAGGGGATAAAGTGATAATAACCCTTAATAAAATGATACATGTGTCCTTGTACCTTGAAAGTATACATGCCGGCATGATCTCTCCTCATAAAGAGAGAAGGAGGTTTTCAGAGTCGAACCAAGGGTTTAATAGTTGCCAATGTTCCGATTAGCAAAGTTGGGTAGGGCGATAATATTGATCATAGTTATTAAACCCGACCTGGTCCGGTGGTCCGACCGATCAATCCGGTGAACCGGCCATTAAACCGGGCCGATTTTCTAATTAAATCGTTTCTGCAAGTGAAACGTTAACTTTTCAACGGACCGACGGTTCAATCGAATTAAACCGAGAGCCCGATCGATTTTGTGGGCAAACCGGTTTTGAGGAAAAATGGCTTTTCCAAGCCTCTGCTTGGAATCGAACCCAAGAACAAAGGTCTTGTTTATGTGTCACTCACCACCAGGCCACTTTGTTACTTGTTAATTAATGGCCATTCTTATGCTATATGAATGTTTTGTTAATTTTATCTTTTTTTTTTAATTCTCCAAAACAAATTTATTTGGAATCTTTTAATAAAACTTATGACCCCTATATTCTATAAATTATAAAATAGATTTCAAAAATAACATATTACATAATTTATTTTAAAGACAAATATTATTTTTAATATTTTTTTGCACTTAAAATTTGTAAATAACCTAGATAATTACAGTAAACATGTACACTTGAAGTTTGGTAGATTACTAATTAAATTTATGTTTTGCTGATTCTTATATGAATTAAATATTCTATAGCAAATTAAATTAAATGAATATTTGTTATGACATTATTTATTACAATTTATATCATATATCCTATATCAAAATTTATAAGATATAATATTTAAATATATTTAGTGACCCAATGGTTAAACCACTCACTCACCGGTTGAACCAGTGACCCGTTGACCCATCTCTTTCGCCGGTCTCCTCTCCGAGCCGAGTTTAATAACCATGATATTGATACACTTTTGTAGTTAATTGCAAACTTTTTTAATTGCCCATTCTTTTGTGCCTTTTTTTTCTTATTGAAAAGAAAAATATCAGTTATGAATATTCATAAGTTTGTTTATAAAGCAAATTATCAAAAATAATATTTCACTTGCATCATATACACAGTTTTTAACCTACCTTTTTATATTTTCAATCACCTTTTTATCTCACATACATCACATAAAGAAGTGTTACAGTAATTATTTTAAATAATATTTTAAATAATACTCTATCCAAACAGCATTGCATCTTTTATTGAATGTTTTCTAAAAAAGAGGATTGCCTGTGAGACTCCAGCTTTCTCCTTGGTAACTCAGACCTTAGAGCTACAAGCCTACAACAAGTTGTGTTGACTTTAAGTTGGAAACTACAAATAATAATAATAATTAAGTGTTTTATCAATTAAATTATACTTCATTTGCCAGCATCTACCAATGCTTTACTTTGTACAGGGATTAAGAACAAATTTTACGAAAGTTATAGATCCCTAATAAATAGCTTCTTGAAATCTGATCATACCTAAAATCGTTACCTTAATAGCAAGGAAGGGAATGTGGAAGGTGGGTTTAATGTCACAAGTTTTATTTTTTTTCTTATAAAGAAACTCGAAATAAAAAATCATCCCACTCTCCTCCAACCCTAAAAAGTCAAGGGACATATCACTATAAATACACTTACATCCACAAAATCATACACACTTTTGAAACGACTGAGGGTTATTTTCATTTTCGTCGAGGGAGAATTACAAACTTGACGAGCATATATTTCCGGCACGCTCCGGATGTGCCTCGCCATACCCAACCCTAACCCTACCCATCAGAAACTATCAATTCCCGCTCAATCCCGGACAAATCTCCGGGTTCGCGCCAAGATCGTACACAAGTACGTGCCCGCGGTCCACGTAAGCAATTACTAGTGTACTCGCAAGTAAACCCTTGAAATATTTTCTGTTTAATTTGCAAAATTTCTCCCAAAGCTTTAGCCCAAAACAAGCAAAAACAATTGGGTGAAGAGGCAAATCTCGTTCGTCAGGCTTGGAATTCTCCCACGATGGGGTGAAAATAAAACATGGAACGCGACCGACTTACCGGAGAGGCGAAATTGATCGGAGAATTTTCCGGCGAAGTGCTCTGAGACAGCTAATCAGGCACCGGCCTCGTTGTTGGTAGAGTTGGTAAATTGTCTTTTTTTGTTGATAAACCCTAAGGATTTTTTAGGGTTTTCCGATCACTTTCAAAGTCTCCCAAATTCAATTTTGTGGTAATCTGCATGATTAGTTTCCTGAATATTTATGTCTCAATTTTAGAGAACTTAATTCCTTGCCCTAATCTCTTGCTTCCATTTCCTCATTAATTGGAGGCTCTAGTCTAATCATTTCTCTTGTTTGGGGATTAAATTGAGAGAGTATAATTCGAGGCCCTATTCCAACCAATAAACACTGTCCATTTGGGGATTGAGTTTTAGATAATTTTTGGTGTAATGGCCGAGTATGTAGTTTATGTTAAGCCTTCCTGATTAACAGGAAACCGTGAAATTCGTTAAAGTACTTACCATGTATTCCCACAGATCATCAAGTTCGATTCTAAATTTTGAGTGCCAATTTAGTGTTTGGTAGAATGTTAATAGAGTTTAGACCTAATTTTCCTTTGTTGGCCAGTATAATGTATTCAGCGAGAGGTATGTTTCTTCACCTATTCTTCTTTTTCATGATAGAGGATTTAGTTAGTCTCTCATTCGTGCAGTCATTAATTATTAATCATGAATGCATATACTACGGGGACAGAGCCACATTATCTTGATGGTGTGCTGTTGTTAGACAAGCAAAAGTGCAACAATAAAGGATATTAAATTTTGTTCATGAGCAAAATCTAGGTTTTCCCAATCCAGGATAATATCCCTAGGACTCATTCTTGCCCTACCCTTTGATTATTTGTGCTGCATCATTCTCCTCAGCAAATTTTGTTTTGTCAAACCAGGATGAAGTGGAGCTCTAATCAATCATTTCCATCTTTTCTTCCTTTGCCACTTGGAATGGTAAGCACACAGAATTGAGTTTTTGGAATGATACCCAAAATTAAAGCTAAGGATTTGGCAATTTATTGGAGGCAACGGAAGTGAGAAGAGATTTTTGCAACAGCATTGGAGCTTGCATCTGACCACAATTAGTGGCATCACTTACTTCAGGAGCTCAGAGATATGTGTTTTATTGTAGATAAGAAAGAATAGAGACAGGATACAGAGTTTACCTTTAATTTTAGTTCCTTCAAAACAGATTGCAAGACCCTCAAGTTACATGATAGTGTCTTCTTCTTGTTTTTAAGATTCTTTTTGTTTTAAGATGTAGGCAGAGAACTAAAATGAAGAATATCATCATCAGATGGGCAAAATGTCATAGATTGGTAGTAAGTCTTAGTTTGGCACTTTGCCTGCCAGAGATCAACCTCAGAGATCAATTTTTACCCTATCTACAAATACTTTCTCGGCATGAGTACCTTCCATTATGAAGAGTTCTGGTTGACAATTCCTATTCTGTAGCTAATGACAATTCCTATCATCTATTGGTATTGGTTTTCTAATACTTGTTTTTATTTGTTAGCACAAAGCTGTTTTGTCTTCCCTGAACAAAGTTCTGTGCTATTCTGACTCTTGAACTTTTTAATTTGTTTTGAAAGCGTGCTTGCAGTTTTTGGAGTTTAATTATGAGAAAATTGGTTTTGCATTTGTTGATGATTGAGGGTGATGTTGCAATTTGGCTTGAAAAAAATATTTAGTACAGAATTGTCTTGGGAAGCCTGACTTGTTTAGTATACAACAGTGCATGTTAACCAAATCCAGTTGAAACTATTGCAGTTATTGAAAAACAGGGAGTACCTTCCGTTATGATATGGTTGACAATTCCTATTCTGTAGCTAATGACAATTCCTAATCATCTATTGGTATTGGTTTTCTAGTACTTGTTTTTATTTATTAGCACAGAGGTGTTCTGTCTTCCCTGAAGTTCTATGCTATTCTGACTCTTGAACTTTTTAATTTGTTTTGAAAGTGTGCTAACAGTTTCTGGAGTTTAATTATGAGAAAATTGGTTTTGCATATGATGAAGATTGAGGGTGATGTTGCAATTTGGCTTCAAAAAAGTATTGAGGACGGATCCAGCAACTGACACCTTTCCTAGTAAATCAGTTTTCTTCTAGTAATGTTCTTCTTGGATTAGTTGTTCAAGAGTAGTGCGATTTAATTTCGGTTCATTTTGTGCCTTCTTAAAAGGGGATTCTAATGCTCACCACCTTCATTTCCCCCTTTTGTCTTTCCTTCTTTCCTCCTTTTACTAGTGTAAAAGGTTTAGAAAAGAATGAAGTATGATTTTGGGTTAGCTGCAAAAATGTCATATTCACCTTCAGTAAACAGGGTATGCAAATCTCAGATCTGAAGCAAAAGGTATTAGCTTCGTCTAAATAAGATTATGGAGAACTTGGATGCCCTATCAACTCGCCTTTGGTGATTTTTCTAGGGAGTTTCCACAAGCGATCTTCCCCTTGACAGCAGGAGTTTGATACATGCCAGGGCAGAAGCTCAATGTAGCACATTTGCTGGGCTATTGTGGCCTTTTTCTTTCTTTTTTTTGTTTGTGTGTGTGGGGGGGGGGGGGGGGGGGGGGGGGGATTTTCTCCTGCCAATTCCTTTCCCCCTGCATACCTAATTGAGTCGCCCTTAGGGGGAGGTTAGTACTCTTGTGTATTGTAATTGAAATAAAACAGCCTGAGCTGGTTTTACGTTGCTTTATTTGAGGACGGTGGTTATGCTAGGAAAGTTTTTAGCCTCTTATGGATAAAAATGATGAAATATAAAATATTTCTTACCTGCTGTTGCTGGTAACTCTGGTAGGGCATTCTCCCTGTGAAAAGACCAAGGTGGGGCACTGGTATATTGCCTTTGTTGACTACAAGTATTTTTCCAGGATATGATGCAGGAAAGGTTAAAGCTTTATTAAAGACTCATAATTGTGGCTGGCTGGCTGGCTGCTTCCCTCTGGAATGTTTTATATCTCTACCGAAAGTTGAATTAGCAACGGATATTCTTGAAAAAGCTGTGAGACAGTATGAATTATAGAAAACTTTGCTTATGAATGAAGTAATTGTATTTGGTTAGCTGCAAATTAGATTTTCAAATTAAAAAGCTTTGCTTATAGAAAACTATTCCCCGGGGGGCGGGGGAGCTTAGTGCTGTAATTTTAGTTCTTTCGGAGCTTAGTTTGCTCGTTATGTGTCACTGCATTCCCCTCCAGGAGTAAGAAGTTCGCAGTTAGTAGAAGCATTATATGTTACAGAAATTCGCTGTTTAGTTGAAGGGAGGAAATGGGGATTCTTTGTCGTTGTCGGAACAATGAATTATACTGGTGAAAATGCAGGCTTGCACAGTTTAGCACCATTCCGTGAGATAAAAGAGAGAATTCAAATCTTGCTTTATATTCAAGCGATCCTCAGCCATTGCTCTACCAGACTTGTTTCATTTTCTGCACTGCACAAAGATGCAGACTTGTGCGTTGCAGAGACTTTCAGGTTTTCAGATATCATCAAACGCTATAAAGATGTTCATAACTCAGAATTACTTGCATTGTAACCATTAAGAAAACGGTGGTAATTGGATTAGAACATAGAATTTTCTATATTTCTTGTCGCCAAACTGGTTTAGTCCGTGCAAGTTGTCCACTCAAAGGTGTTAAACCATTCTCATATTTGCCCCAAGCCACACGTGCAAACTCTTAATGTCACAATCAGTTCCTTTATCACTTGTGATTACTTTATGTATGACCTGAAGATCCAGAACTAATCCAATTCCTGTAAGGGAGGGGAGAAGAAATCTTCTCATCTGCAAATATAGAAGCTCAAATTTATAGACCTAATTGTTAGAGAATCTACGGATATGACTTCTTTGTTATATAGGCTACAGCTATAAAAATTTCAGCCCGTTACAAAAGGGTTAGAAATGATTCCACAAAAACCTCTACTAGTAATATTTCATATGTTACTTTTGTTGATCAAATGCTTGATGCTTTCTACAATGTATTATCTCTGCAAGTAAACTCTTTGTGGGCTGTGCGCCTCCATCTGCCGTCACTTCTTTGCTTCCTCCGTAGTTGAGGACTTTGCCTCCTCTGCTTTTGGCTTGGCTTCTGCTGGCTGGGGAACAGCAGGAACACCAGCATCGATGCAGCTTCTGCACTTCCTTTCCACCCACCCCTCAATGTCATGATCCCCTGTTCCCCCAAAATGTCGTCCACCGCAGAGCCGGGCAATGATACCTGCAATAACACCAAGTATTGTAATAACCGCCAAGACTACCACCAATGTCTCAATTGACTGGTGTGTGGAGTGTCTTGGCTCTACCACCACTGGCGGTGCCTCTACTAATGGTGGCAGCTGATTTTCATACTGGTTTCCTGCCATTCCGGACATCATTATGACCATGAAGAAGTAATAAAGGAAGGGTTATTCAATATTTTAGCAAAGAAGGAAACTGCCAAGGAAAACAGGCATACATGTAAAAGGCTGGTTTAAAGACAGTTTACAGAAAATTTTTTGGCGTCCAAGCTGATGCAAACAGAAAATCTAGAATGGTGAGATGGAAGATGGAAATGAGAAGAATAGGAGTCAAGTTTGGCAGGTATGGTGTGAAACTGAGACTATGGAACTGCAGTGAAGAAAATAAGGTAAATGTTGCTGGAGCAAGGTGAGAGAGAGGCTGAGGCTGTAAAGGGTATGGAATCTAGATGACCTTAATCAATTAATCTGATGCTTTTTAGAGAGAGAGAGAGAGAGTAGAAGAAATTGCCAACGTTCGAAAGGTACAGAGGAAAATCCGAAATAGGATTCCAACTTTGAAAACATGGTTGCTGGTGCTTTTTGTTGTATTGTGGTTTCTTTATAGCTATAACTCATCATCTATCTCCTGTTTACTTTATCCATCATGGGTTTTTCTCTTTAGGTTAAGCTGGTTTGGACTTTTGAGGAGCAAAATGGTGTTGAAGGCTTAAAAGTCCTTCCCGTCCATCAATGCACTAACATGTTAGGCAAACCAGGAAAGGTACTGCTGATGTGCATCTTACATTTCCCGACCATAACATTTGCTAAATCACTTAATAGTACAGAATTACTTTGGTACAGTAGATAACTCTAGGACTCATTTGCTTCTTTGAACCGCCCTCTCATAGTTGGTAACTTGGGACTTATTTGGCAAGCAAGTCTTTGGACAAGTTTGTCTGCTACAAGTTTTTTAACAACTTTAACTATAGTAATTTCAAAAAACTTTTCAAAAATTTTAAACTATACACTTTAAAATATCCAAAAATTTACGCATTTCAAAAATTTTTTCTACAACTTTTATAGTAAGGTAGAGTAAAATTTTAAATAAACATCCTTGCCAAACGGGGTGATATGTGAAATATAATCACTGTTCAATTCAAGAGAGTTTCTTTTTGATTCTTACTGTTTGGGTAATTCAGCCTAATAGCAAGTAAATCATTCTTATGCTATTTATTTTTTCATTTTTTTGAATGAGTAGGAGCCTTTTATCTGGGCTTTTTGTAATTCATCAAACCTTCTTGTAGATTAAAACAACAAAATTTACACCTTCCTGTAGTAGCTCTGTCTACAGCTAGCAGTCCTCCTCTGACTAGTGACTAGTGACTCCCACCATTTTTTGTTATGAAGTTGTCCGTTGTGGGACGTTCACATGTTTGCATTGAATTACTACAGTTAGGAACCCCAATAAACGAATAATTACAATTGTCCTGTTCTCTTCTCTGAAACCTGTCCCAAGTGATTTACTGCTTTTGACCTTGTGTGATGTCTCTTTTCGTTTGGTGCCCACAGACCACATCTGGTAATGGATTTCGACGTATCTATGACCATTTAACCTCCTCAAAACTGTGTTCCTCACCTTTAAAATCATCTGCGGGGTGACCTTTCGGATTTGATATCCTGACCACCCCAGCAGCTGCTTGGCTTTTATGGAGTACAGCCAGCTTAGGTTTTAGTCTTTTAGGAAAAAGGCCAATAATCAACTTTGTCTTTTTCCTTGTTTCAAAGTGCTGTGGAGATGGAGAGCTCTTTTTCAGCCATGAAAGTCGAATTTAGACCAAGTGCATTGGCTGCCATTTAACTTTTTATTTACTTTGGACTAAATTTTTTTTTTTTTGGTCTAAATTAACCGTTTAGGTCAATCAATCTTCAATATGTAACAAAGGTTGCTGGCCACCATTAAATCCTTAAAAGGCTTGGTGAAATCTTGCCTCCCACAAATTATCGCATTATGTGATTCTCTAAAAAATTTAAACGAGTGTGTAGTGCACCCCCGTCTGGTTCGCCATCGGTTCCTCCATTAGTCCAGTTGAGCTCCTTTAGAATAGGTTAGAGTAGGTGTAGAATAGACTATTGCTTACCGTTGGGAAAAAAAAATCTTCAATATGTAGAGTTGGTAATTGTTGGCTTCCCTTCACTTCTGACAACCAGAAGACATTTTGCCACCATGCTCATTCCAGGTCAGGAGATGCATCAAGTAAACAAAAACCTTCAAATAGAAGTGTTATGAGTTATGTGAGGGATTTTCTCTCAAAAAGGAAGGGAGGGACTTGAATTTTCTAAAACAATTCTTTTCTCATAGAACTATAAATTAGGACAAGCTCGAAAACAAAATTAAAATTAAAAGTTGAACAGTATTATTAAAATTTGGACCGAGCTTCAAGCTAAGCTCGGCCCGACTAAGGCAAAGCCTATTGAGTACTGATATATGTACTATTACTACTTATATACCTATGATCATTGGTTTAGGGTAAAATAAATTTAAAAAAATTGGTAAAGAATTTTTAAGGGTAAACATTAATCGCACTCTACTTTTTTTTATAATGCACTCTAACTATTATTATTTTTATCATATGATTTTCATTTATTAAACTATATGATAAAAGAGATAGTAAGAGTGTCGTTATACAAAAAAATGGAGTACACTTAATATTTCTCTTTCTAAAAAAGTTTTCATGTTATTATTTTGGAAATATTAATTATTGCATGCGGAAATTTGGATATTTGTTATTTTGGGCTGCTCGTAGAGCCTTAAGTGCAATACATGGGCCACGTTTGGGCTTCTGTATTTCTCACGCCTGATAGGCGGAGTCTGAAGTAGGTAACAAAAAATGGCAGCTGAACTATTTAAACAGACCCAAACAAAAAAGCCCAAAATGAAAAAAAATTTTGAAAGAAATGAGAACGAAGTCAACTCACTTTTTTCGACTCCGCGTATGGTCAGAATTTTGACCGCTTTGACACTTTCTTTATCTGTTCGCCAGTTCTTATTTGTTCCCTTCAACGCCGTCGTATAGTATGCAAACCGACCATAAAAGTTTGACTAGAGCTCCGACGGCGTTCGGAGGACTTGTAATCCAAGTAGTCCAGAGGTCCGGAACCTTCGAAATTCCGCCGCTTTTGTTTTTTTCTTTCTGGCGACGAGAATCCAATCGACGATTTAAGCAATTGAGCTGAAGAACTGAAGAATTGGGGAAACTGGGAATGGGAACGCCGGCGTTTCCTAATCTCGGGAAGCATTGCAGCGTCGAGGATTGTCGGCTGATCGATTTTCTACCGTTCACTTGCGATTCCTGTCACCAGGTTGGTTTCTATATTTCAATTTACGTTTTTGGGCTTTTCTTTCTTTCGCCTTTTTGACAAGAAATGTTTTGGTATCTGACAAGCAATTTTTTGGCGATGTGTAGCTAAATACTTCGGAGAAGTAGATGAATCAGCGCAATAGAATACATAGGTTTTCTTTTATTTTTTTTCTCAATTTATTGTTGTTTTCTCGATTCTGTGTGATACAGATAGTTGCATTATGTTATTGATCTTGATCTTCATCATGACCGGGTGTTTTTTGGTGTTCTGCGTGCAATGTGTTACCGTTTCTTTTGATTTTTTTTTTAATTGAACGTTGTTTGTTTTGGAAAATGTGGCTGTGCTTCTTGTACTCGAGATTTTAATGCAAACAGACGCGCAGAGCCACGAACACCCCTTTGTGTTAGGTATACTGTGAAGTATGTTGGTCTGCTTGTTGCTTAATGAAGGATCTAACTGGGAAAACTGTGGGTTTTTTTGAAAACGGAATGCGAAAAAGAAACGAAAGGGAAGTAGTGGGATCCGTTTCCCAGTTTTTAACAGCTATATGGGCAAGAATCATACTGAGGAAACAATATCAACAGTTAAAGAGTTATCTTTTGATCAAAGTATGGGAAGTTCAAATCCCTAAGTTCGATGTTTAGAGGGCAAATCAGAATTTCACTTTCGGTCTTATGCTAGCTTTTTTGCTTCAAGTGTGTTTCCTGGATTCTGTTGGTATCTTTCTTTCTTCATGGTTATAGTTTTCTGCATTATTTCTCTCTGAAGGTGGTGAACTTACGAAAACAATTCTCTTGTATGCTTTGACATCTATTGCAGTTGAGTTGATGTCTTCTGTGTTCTTTTAATTGTCATGATTGATTGAATTTTTCCTTAAACTAACCTGGTTACACCATCTCCTGGCAGGTGTTCTGTTTAGAGCACCGAAGCTATGGTAGACACCACTGTCCGAAAGCCAACAAAAGCGATGTGACTGTTGTAGTTTGCCCTCTGTGTGCAAAAGGAGTTCGTCTAATTCCTGATGAAAATCCAAATATCACCTGGGAGTCACATGTAAACATTGAATGTGACCCTTCGAATTATGATAAGGTCACCAAGAAAAGAAAATGTCCTGTGTCAGGCTGTAGAGAGATCTTAAGCTTTTCTAACAAAATTAGGTGCAAGGATTGCACAATAGAACATTGTTTGAAACACCGTTTTGGGCCAGATCATAGATGTCCCGGACCTAAGAAGATAGAATCAACTTTTCAGTTTAGCAGCTTTTTAAGCAGTGGTAAACAACAGTCAAAGCAAAATCCAGTTTCGTCTTCTTCTAGCTGGGCATCAAGTTTATTCAGGGTAGCTTCGTCAGTTCGGGCTACAGCTGAATCTGGAGTGGCAAGATTGAGCAGTGATTTCAAAGACATTCTGCAGGGGTCGGGCAGCAGCAGCGGTAGTAGCAGCATGAGCCATGGGGGAAGCACGAGCAGGCAGTTGGAGCAATGTCCACAGTGCAATTTAAGATTCTCATCGGTAATGGATCTAGTAAACCATGTAGAGAGAGTTCATGAAAGAAATGGTGTAATGAAGGTTACACTTGATGTCTGCCCCAAATGTAGCAAAGGCTTTCGTGATCCTGTGTCTTTGGTGGAACATGTTGAGAGGGAACACCGAGGAACTTCGAAAGCTTAGCGAGTAATCACTGGAACGGAATAGTATTCCCTGTAAAAGATTTTTGTGATAATATACTGATTTCATTCTTTCAATGCTTCTCTTGGAAAACATAATGAATTGAGATTGTGCATGTGTTTCAGTTTTTTTTTTCCCGTTAAAGTCAAGTAGAGCTTGGTTTTTATTTTACAATGATCATTGGATTTCAAGATTTGAGGAGTTCTATTCTGCATTCAATGAACATGTAGATGGCAAAGGAGAAAGCAGGACAGAATTGTTCTGATAATACAGAAATTTTAAAGGGGTATCAGATTGGACTTTATTGCATAATCTACCGTAATTCTTTTGGTTTTTATATATAAATTGCTCCCCTTCCAAGTCAATAAGGAATCCATGCGGCTTCAGTTAAGTTCAACCGTTCAGATGTTAAACTCTGTTCCTTAGCCTTTGCTTTCCTTTTTACGTCAGATCTTGTTTACGTGCATGTGACTAATATCAGGTTCCTGAACCCAGAAATAGGTAGCAAATTCGATTCCATATAACAGAGTTATAAGTTAAATTTTTTGAAGGCAAGAGATTATTTTCAGTTCAATAAATATAACGTGAACTCATTTAGATTTCAGGAAGATAAATTGAAAGTATCAGTAAATAAATTGAGTAGTGATTAATGCAAGTAAATCAACAACTATGTGGAACATCAATTTGTTTTGGCATGAGTACCAAGACATTAGGAAAGAATTCAAAACATTAGGAAAGAACAAAAGTAGAGTTCAATGTCCTAGTAAGTTTTATTACTAATATTTAATCAGTAGTTAATTACGGTCCAAAACATTAGGAAAGAATTCAATACTACATTTACTTTACAAGACTATCAAATAACATAATCCACAACAGAGCAACGTCCACGCAATTGAGCTCTGGTTGTCCATCTCATGCATAACCTGCCGGGCTCTCTCGGTAGTCTCGATTTTTTAGTTCATTAACAAACGATTCAAAGGGATGATGAGCCTATAAATACCCTTTACTCCATGTTAAATGCACTGTGCCTTCTCATTTATATCCCTGAGAGTTCAAGTCATTTGCACCATCCTATCTTTGTTTCTTTGAGCTCTCAAGCATGGCTTCGATAGCAACATCAAAGCTTATTTTTACTGCATTCTTGATGCTGACAGTGTTGGCTTCTCAGGCTGTGTGCCGCAACTTGAACGAAGCCTCAATGATTGAGAAACACGAGCAGTGGATGGCGCAATATGGCCGTGTTTACAAGAATGAGGCAGAGAAGGGAAATAGGTACAAGATTTTCAAGGAAAATGTGGAGTTCATTGAATCATTCAATAAGGCTGGGACTAAGTCTTACAAGTTAGGCATCAACCAGTTTGCTGATTTGACAAATGTAGAGTTCAGAGCAGCACGCAATGGCTACAAACCAAAGGAATGTAAAGGAACACTGTTTAGGTATGAGAATGTAAGTGCAGTTCCAGCTGCCATGGACTGGAGAAAGAAGGGTGCAGTTACAGGAATCAAGGACCAAGGGCAATGCGGTAAGCTAAAATAGCCATCATTTTACAAATTATTATTTATGTATCATCAAATCTTTCCAAAGTCATATTGTTTATGATTTTTGGCTAACAATCAATTCCCCTTGAACATGAAATATTAGGTTGTTGCTGGGCATTTTCAGCTGTTGCAGCCACAGAAGGAATTCACCAGCTTAAAACTGGCAAGTTGATCTCCTTGTCTGAGCAAGAGCTAGTGGACTGTGACACTGCGGGTGAAGATCAAGGCTGCAATGGAGGTCTCATGGATGATGCATTTACCTTCATAATCAACAACAAAGGTCTTACTACTGAAGCCAATTATCCATATCAAGCAGTTGATGGAACTTGCAACACAAACAAAGAAGCTAAACCTGCTGCCAAAATCACTGGATTTGAAGATGTCCCTGCAAACAATGAGGCTGCACTCTTGAAGGCTGTGGCCAATCAACCCGTTTCAGTTGCCATTGACGCTAGTGGCTCTGCCTTCCAATTCTATTCAAGCGGCGTCTTCACTGGTGATTGTGGTACTGAATTAGACCATGGTGTGACAGCCGTTGGGTATGGTAAAAGCTCTGATGGAACTAAATATTGGTTAGTTAAGAATTCATGGGGAACTAGCTGGGGTGAGAATGGATACATTTTGATGCAAAGAGACATCGATGCTAAAGAAGGTCTCTGTGGCATTGCCATGCAATCCTCTTACCCTACTGCTTAATTACAACTCAAAAAAATTGCTGAAGCTACCCTTATACAAGAGCTTTGCTTTGTCTGTTGACTACAGCTCTGTGTATTCTGATGTTAAGTGATTGTTGTATATTTTAAGGTTGCTATCCACCAAATTATGTACATGAAATTCAGTATCTTGTGATATAATGCATGTTAATTTCTATCCTTTTATAAGAAAGTTTACTTCGAAGGGGTGAACTTTTTAATATATGTTTAAAACTTAATATGTGAAATAAATATCTTCAAGTTTTGGCGGGGGCAAAAGTTTAAATTTATAAAAATAAAATTTTCAATTTTCTAAGGGAGAAAACCTTAATTTTCTAAAACTTTCTGCCCCTCCACACCCTAGTTTTGTCCGTATTGATGACATTAATTGGACTTGGACTGTCATATTTGGGTAAAAAACCAATCTGACTGTAATTAAATCATATACGGTCCCTTGAAAAATATAATCTTGATCATGCAAAATTTACTATTGATGCACCATATTTGTAGTGAAAATACTGAAATCCACAACTCTCTAGTAAAAGATTTATGTATTAACACGAGTATTACAGAGAGACCCCATTTAACTATTACTCCTAGTTTTCTCCAAGTGCACTTCTAGGACTATCAAATATTGAAAAGATATATTGCATTTTTTTTTTGTCAAATATGCAGCTAGAAGAATGTCATAATTAGCCTTTGGGATCATATAAATTGATTGGGCTTTGGATTTTTTTGTTTTCTCTTTTTCTAGAAATGAGTTTTCTTCTCATACATAATGACAAAACAAACTAATGAAAAAGGACTAAATAAGTAATGATTGTTTGGCATTGTCCAAATACACTACCCTTGGAACTTTACTCAGTTACGTTTCCCAGATTCATTCTTATACCACTACATGTTGCTGGTTCTGTTTGATATTGAAGACGAGAAAGACTTTTCTACAAACAAAGAAAGTTATATGGATGCTGAGATCAACAATTGGGTTCTAGCCCAATAGCCATCAGGAAAAGGGATTAATCCCTCCCTGAGTGTAGGCAGGGATCGGATCCTTTGCCTGCATTTTAGGTGCATTTGCCAGTTTCTTGGTTTCACTTCCAGAAGGTGCTTAAGTACACCCGTTTGGTTCTTCTCCATCTTCCTTGCCCTAATATACGACTAGTTCTAAAAAAAAAAAATGGATGTTGATATCTTAAGTATGCCCGTTTGGTCCATCTCCATTCTCCTTCCCCTAATATAAGACCAAATGTAATTGTTGTATTGAAAAAAAGAAAAAGAAAAGGATGCTAATATCGTTTAAGATAAAGAAGTTCATTAAACAATAGCTTCAAAAACTGACAAGGTCCTGCACCTCATTTTTGCAAAGTTCGAATTCGGAAAAAAAATTTTGATGTTGGTTTCTAATTTTGTTAATGTTTTAAAGAAAAGCCTAAATTTTTTAGTAACTTGCCAATCAGATATGACAATTTGGCTATCCAATTTTGTTTTCTTTTATCAGAGAAATTAAATGGATCCTCAGATCATCACAAGTTGATTCAGTATATTAAACATAAAACTAAAAAAAATTAATAAGGTCATGGCTAGTGTGGAAGATCTAATTCGGAATATGGTAGATGTTAGTTCACATCTTTTATCAATGTTTTTAAGACAAGTTCATACTTGTTTCTAGTTTAGTTTAGTCTTGTAGTTAATGACTACAGAAATGCATTATATGAATTGAAGATTTTGTAAATAAAGCCTCACTTTAGCATTAATCAATGCGAGAATTGCAGTTTTGGTCCCTAATGTTTGGTTTGTGTGTCAAATTAATTGATCCCTAATATTTCGACCAAAACAAATCCACCCCCAAGTTTGTGTTTTGAGGCCAATTTAGGACAGCTAACAGAAATAGAAAAATGACCAATGGTCAATACTAAATTTGAGACTAACTATACAAAAGAAAGAAACATATACTATATTATTAGCAAGAATAAATGAAATAAAATAAAAATAAAGAAAAAGAAGTTTAATTAGAATTATTATTACCCGTTTAACACTATTTCATTCTAATTTGTATCTCAATTCATGCTAAAACCCTTAATATCACTATTTAAAATGAGAAAAATATAGTGATTCGAAATCAAAATATTGGGGGACTAAAAGTGCAAAGTCAAAATTGTTGATTAACGGCAGCTTGATATTAATTGTTAGTCATTATTGTATTTCCATTAATTGTCCTAAATTTGCCTAAAATCACAAATTTTGGGCACTCAATGTGGTTTGACTGAAACATTGGGGACCAATTTGATACACAGGCCAAACATTAGAGACCAAAATTACAAGGGAAAATGATCAGTTTCATCCTTCACATTTCACAAAAATATTCTTTTCGTCCCTCACTTTTAAAATGAACCAATTTCGTCCTTGACATTTAAAAACTAAAATTATTACATCCCTGAACCCAAATTTCAATCTGAATCAAACCACCAATCAACCTGATTACAAATTTCGGGGGTGTAATTGGTAGATCACTTGGTTAACTCAACTTGATATTCATGTGAAATTTAATTAACCTAAAAATAAAAAATTATAACATAAAAAAGAAAGATTAATTTTTTCTACATTATCATTGTATACACTGACGGTTTATGTACCGCCATATCATTTTAATTTAAATTTAAACACCAAATTTTATATGTATGATACACATCTAGATTCGCAAGCAAGCATACTAACGGTGTATGAAAAGATTTACTAAAAAAAAAAAAACTCTACTATTCCAAGATAAAGAATGACCTTTTATGTTATAATTTTTATTTTTTTGGTTTAATAAATGTCACGTGAATATGATGAAGTTGACCGAATGATCTATCAATTCTATTTTCGAAATTTATTACTAGATTGTTGGGTGGTTTGATTCAGATTGAAAATTAGGTTCAGGGATGTAATAGCTTTAATTTTTAAATGTCAGGGATGAATTTGCTTCATTTTAAAAGTGAGGGGTGAAAAGAATATTTTTGCAAAATGTGAGGGATGAAACATGTCATTTTCTCAAATTACAATTCTCCCTTGATCAATACTTTGATCACAAAACTGTCCCAAAACCTTAAATACCGGACCCCCTACGTTCTTATCCCCGCTTAAAACAGTTTGTTGAATATTATCTGATGTACTATTCTTCCACATAGTATTCTATGCCCTGTGAGCAGTGACTGTGACCAGCCAAAAAGAAAAAAAAAACACACCAATTAGATATGACGATTTGGTAATCCAATTTTTTTTTTTTTTTTTTTTTTTTTTTTTTTTTTTTTTTTTTTTTTTTTTTAACTTAAGGTCCAAGGAGGTTCCGTTTGAATACAATTAGACTCTTGTGTGAATGTATTGATGAAGTTGGAAAATGTTAGAAACATATCAAAACTAGGATCCAAATTTCTTCTAACTTTTATGTTTAACCAGTAGTTCACCAATGTCCAAAACACCAGGAAGAGCTCAAGATTAGAATACAGATGAAAAACGGTCATATAGCATAAAATATGGTTTTAATGGAGCAACTTCTACGGAATCCTGGTTTGATAATCCATCTCTACCATAACTTGCCGGGCTGTCTCAGTGGTCTTGAATTCAGTTCATTGCCAAGAAGACTTAACGAGGGATGCAGGTTAGAAATGAAGTCTATAAATAGCTCCCAATAGCTATGGGGTCCAGTGAGCCTTCTCAATTTCATCCTCTATTTTCACTCCAGTATCAAGGAAATTTGCAGCCTCTGTGCGTTTGTTTCTTTGAACTACCAAGAAATGGCTTTAAAATTCAGTTCGAAGCTTATTGTTGTTGCATTTCTGATGCTGGCAATGTTGGCTTCTCAGGCCATGTCCCGCAACTTGAATCATGAAGCCTCAGTACGTGATCGGAAAACACGAGCAGTGGTGCGGTAGCAGAAGCGTAGGAAACAAAAGGGTTTCACGAACACCCTCCAAACGAGAATTATTACACGAACGAAATCTAGCCATAAATCATAGATTCATAAAAATCAGAGAAACTTTCACAATTAATAAACACCAACCAATGACATATTTATTTTGGAGAAAAGTCTGATAATTACAAATGCCCTAACTATGCCTATTTAGAAGTTACAATGAGTTCTACTCTAAAAAGGAAACAAGATACACATAAAACCCTAAACCAACAAAACTATGTAATTTGGCTGGAAGCATGGCTGGCTTTATGTCAGAACCAATGATCACCACCCATCTTAGTGGCTCTACAAGCTAAACAGGAACCAGAACATGATGGGCGATGTGATGGGTCTTACGTCGGGTGCCCTACTCGACTTGAATCAGCTCCAATCACAATCTTTCTTCCTTCTCCACACAATTACAATCCTTATTCATAAAATCAATAAGAAAACTAATAAAAATACTACTAAAAACACTATGACTACCCAATTATTCAATCTAATTAACTTTCTAGGTAGCCCTACTGATACGGATTGATGGGTTAAGGAACCAAGGGTTCCTCAAACCGTATCAAGTGGATGGCTCATTACGGATGTGTTTACAAGGATGAGGTCGAGAAGGCTGACCGATACAAGATTTTCAAGGACAATGTTGAGTTCATTGAGTCATTCAACAAGGCTGGGACTAAATCTTACAAGTTCGGGATTAACCAGTTTGCTGACTTGACCAATGCGGAGTTCAAAGCAACACGCAACAAGTACAGGAACCTTGTTCAGGTATGAACAAGTGAGTGCAATTCCAGGTTCCATGGACTGGAGAACGAAGGGTGCAGTCACAGGAATTAAGGATCAAGGCCAATGTGGTAAGCTAGCCTAGTATTGCAGTTTGTCTTTCAATTTATATACATTTGCCGAACAATTCTCTCCAAAGGACTAACTGTGGATAACCCTTTTGTTCACAAAAATGCAGGATGTTGTTGGGCATTTTCAGCTGTTGCAGCTTTAGAAGGGATTCACCCGCTCAAAACTGGTAAATTGATCTCATTGTCTGAGCAAGAGCTAGTGGATTGTGACACTGCTGGTGAAGATCAAGGCTGCAATGGAGGTCTCATGGATGATGCATTTACCTTCATAATTAAAAACAACGGTCTCACTACTGAAGCCAATTATCCATATCAAGCTGTCGATGGAA